TTAGTGTTGGGTTTCTTGTAAGAAGAATCAACCGGTCAAAACGACCTCTGACATCGTTGCACGAGCCGCCAAGCACCGGCAGTGCACGTGGGATTCGTCCGTCGGTCCAGGAAGCTTCTGAAACTGGTCCAGTCAAACCGGTCTGAGCCGGGTCTGGTTGACCCGACCGAGTCAACCAGAACTGAGTCAACTAATCCAAGTTAACTCGTCTGATTCAACTCATCCGAGTTAACTCGTCTGATTCAACTCATCCGAGTCAACTCGTCCGAGTTAACCCGTTGACTTTAACCGTTGGTTTTGACCGAAAAAGTCAAAATTTATGAAAAGTTATATTTTATATTTTTTTGATGTCCTGAGTCTGAATCCGAAGTTCGTTTTGCCAAATTCACACTCGGTAAGCCGTTTGTCAGTGTTTTATCTTCGGATTCAAGTTGGTTTCTCAATTAAATTTAGTTTCTGACGTAAATTCGTTTGCTATGTATCCGAGGAATTATTGGATGTTGAATTCAAGTTTGAGAGTGATCGAATGGAGATTAAATGTTTAATCGGTGGAGCACAGAAATTGAGGTAATACTCTACTACCTTTTGTATGCTTTCCAGAACACGTTGATAATTAGTAAATGCATGAATGGAAATAATTGGTCCATGAGGTGTAATTAATTATCATTGGACTCAAATTGAATTTGGAATAAAGATGGAACATTATATAAGACTCAGACAGCTCGTAAAAGAAATTGGTAGACTAATCAGAAAAAAATCTAAGATCGTGATTTAATCAGTAAATTAATCAATCTCGGGACTCGTAAATTCTAATTAACATCTTTAAAGGTTAAATTTCAGAAATGCTTGGATAAGAACAAGAAAATACGGTATGATATAAAAGATAAGGATTTTCCCAGAAAGTGAAAATAATCATGTTAATCGATCATGATCTTTGAGATGGTAAAAGACTTAAATTTTCTAATTCCTGGGGAGAACACCTAGAGGATAAATTACCGAAAGGACCTTATACGTCAGAATTTCATGAAATGACAAAGTTGAACTAAATAAAAGTATTGTACGTATTCGAATTGTTAAAACAATTGAATCACTCTGGAAACTCCTAAGTAACCAGGATAAACTTGAATACTAATTGATTTAAGTACTCCAATGACCTTGAATTAAGCGAATAACTTGGACAAGTCTAGAAACACTGATGATCTTATATGTTGTACCGTTCATAAGGGTTTTGAACCACGAATCAAGCACGTCGACATTTCCTGATATCGTTGCAATGTAGAAATGAAATAAAGACCATTGGAATATTTGTTCGTCTTCCTAAGATCCATTCAGCGATGATTCTAAAGATGATCAATTGATAAGAGTTGTATGTATTAAAGAGCAAATACCCTTGAAGTGCAACGATTTGATCGGTTGGCAGGTATCATTGCTGGGATTTGTATAGTTCGTGTTAACTCGATATTCTGATAGATCGACACAAATTGTAAATGCCCTGAATCTTCGTTTCTCCCTTATTAGCTCAAATCACTAAGAATTCTCTAATAACCTAATGCCCAAAATGCCCCTGGTTTCCTATATAATGGAATTACTCATGTCATATCTAAAACAGGAGTAACTTTAATGCAAAGGATTCTGAATACCTTTCTGATTACATAGTGCCTCCAAAAAATATTTGAATATTATATGATCCTGATAAATCACGTTATGAATAACTGATGAATCTGTTATCTATCAAACCCTTTTAGGGGGATCTCATATATGAATTTAATCAATTTACATAAGTTTCATGACTCCCTATCTGATAAATATCAATCACCTCCGAATAATATTTGGAACCTCTAGTGTGTTCTCTGATCACACGAATGTTTTCTCTGATTTTAAAAGTATGTGTTTGTTAACTGAAATACAGTTTAACCTCTTATTTTTTCTCTGAACTTTGATATCTTTTCTGATCTCTTATTTTTGTTCTGATCTCTGCTTAGATTTTTTATATCTCTATTTACTGACTGAAATTATTTTTATATGGGGTACTATGGGATTCTGGTATGACTGAAGACTCTGGCAAGTTCAGTCACTGTTAGTAATTCATTGTATAGGTTCAGCACCGACTGGTAATTTCTTATAGACCTAAGACGACTCTTGGGTGGGCTCCTGAGCCTATTGGTAAGACCTTATGAATCCTAAGGCACTCTCCTTATGGGCTTGAAGGCACTCCCCTCAAGTGGGCACCTACGCTTCGGCTAGGGTAAGGCCTTATGGACCCAAGGTGCTCCCTTAGGTTGGCACCTACGCCCTTTGGGCCTAGGGTAAGTCCTTATGGATGCAGTTCTAGGGAACTACGTATTAGCGTTCGGTTGGAGGGTTTTACTATGGTTTTAAAAATACGTTTTAAACTACTATTGTTTTAAAAAGATATGTACACTTTCATTGGTTTTGTGGGAACACACTGGACACCCTATTCTGATCTCCTGAACCTAGTTCTCCAAACGTTTACTATAAACTGGAAGTTTCATTTCTTTTACTACCTGAGATATCAGTGGAACCTCAGCTCAAGATAAAAATATGTAGATGTCTGAATCAATAAGAAAAATTATGCTTACCTATTATCTACATGTCCTTTAGCATCACTTAGTAGTTCTGTATTATTGAGCTTTCCAAAGCTCACTCTGTTTCTCACCATTTTAGGTTAAAAGAATCGTACCAGTGTAGTTATCGACATCAATAAAGAAGTTCTATTTGGCTTTGCTTGCAGAGTACGGTACAATTGTAGTTAGGGGCATGTAGGTCACGTTTGGTTTTTTTAATGAGTATGAGCATGTATGATTTTAATTTTTTCTGTAATATATGAATAGTTTTCCAAACTCATATTTTAATTATAAATTGTTTTAAGATTTTACACATTTTAACAAAAAATTTAAAATTTTCCTGGATTTTTATTGTGGGTCGCTCTGGTGGCCCTAATGTGATACCTCGGATCAGGTCACCCGTATCGGTTTGTGGGTGTTACACTTAGCTTTTCAACTTATGAGAAAATTAGCTAAGCATGCCAGAAGTCATATTTAACATTTATAAAAATAAAGCTTGAAATAAAATAAAAATGAAAACGAAAGAAAAACTTTTATAAAACCAAATAACCGAAAGCTCTTGAATCAAATCTAAAAACAAGTGTGTTTCAAGCTTTACCCCAATGGGGTATTTATAGCTTCTAAAATCCTAAAGTTAATCATGGAAATTAAAAGATAAATAAATTCTAAAGATAATTCCAAATGTTTCCAAATTCAAACTTTAAATTTCAAAAACAAATCCTCCTAAGATATCTATGTTCGTTCACCTTCCAGAAGGCACTGACTAGATCTTCTAGAAACTGTTGCTGACTGGACCTTCTAGAAACTGTCACATCAGGCTGTGTCATGCCCATGTCTCTAGTCATGACCAAATAATAAAAAAATGCAGAATGCATCCTTTTTACTGTTAATTATGGAAAATAAGATCATGCACGAAAATAAGCACAATACAACCAAATCAACAGTAATAAATCCACAACACAGAATAATTAACAAGCAAATATCATTAATTTAGAACACTCATCATGGATTAGCACTAACACCGTTTTATTAACAAGTCATACCAAGCTGACCACGAAGAAACTGGTGACATAGAGCAATAACATCATTACCAACAAGATTCCAATGCAACGGGAAAAACTTGTCGGGAGACCATCAATTCCTAGAGCCTTCTGAGGATTAATATCGCGAAAAGCAGCGATAATATCTTCAGGGTGAACTCTTTACTCAAATCAGCGTTGACAGCGTCGGTAATGACCGGTTCTATAGCGTCCAAAATGACATCCGTCGCAGGAGGATTCGAAGTTGTGAACAGATCAGAGAAGTAATTAGCAACAATTCCTTTCATTTCATCTTTGTCTTCATTCCAAGTACCAAAAGAATCAAACGGACCTATGATCCAATTCTTCTTCCTTCTCCCGGTCGCACGAGCATGGAAATAGGAGGTGTTCCTATCACCATGTGCAAGCCGAGATCCTTGAGCCCAAACGTCGTCCTCTTTAACAAGCAACGAATGCAACTCAGCTTTAGCTTCAATATAACGGTCCAACTCAGGAGCTGAAATATGGTGGGTTAAGCCTTTATCAATGAATGATTTCAACCTGGATATCCGTTTTCAAACCCTTTTTGCACAAGAATTATGCCACGAAGCCAAAGAATCACCAACAGCCATGTTTCTTTAATTGTAACTGAATTTTTATTTTGATGCTTTTTTTAATATTCTTAAGTAATAACTTTTGAAGTGTTTTTAAATAAGTTTTCTTAAAATTATTTTTATCACACAACTCGTTAAGAAATTGTAGTGTACTCGTAAAGAGAAGACACTCTAGCTATACTTGGTAAGAACAAAGAGAAAATAGGATTAGCAGTTTGCTTCATGATTATAACCCTCTCTTCGTACCAAATCAAATCAGAATATTATCTCTATTGTTATAATTTATGACTAAACTTTTTATATATACATTGTCCGGGAATAAAGTATTTTTAAAAATCCACATCATCATTTTATTTAAAAAGTTCAGTTCAACATTTTAAGCAAAAGCTAATTTAACAACGTTAACTATTTGAATTAACTGACGCCATTATAAAAATAGATGATCAAATTAAATTAAAGTATAAAAAATAATTTCCAAATTGAGCTTATTAGAGGAACCGAAATCATAATTTAACCTAAAATAAAAGACAACCAAGTCGAGTAACCAAAAGGGAGAAACAGGTCGGGTAATCAAACCGCCCAAATAAGGTGTGTTCGGTCCATAACATGACGTGCGGCGTAAATGGCGAGCGCGCATGTGTGAGAGTGAGCCCAAATCAGGAGACATACAGAAACTCCATACATAAACGCGGTTATTCCTTTGTTGCCTAACTGTTCTCGAAATTCTGTTATTTCAACACCCTGTCGCTCCATCGCGCCTAAAATTCCGTTTACGAACTTTCTCCAAACTTTGTTCATACATCTTCTCCTTCCTCGCTCCTTCCCTTCTCTCCGCCATGAAGCAACGTACTACGAGGATAATCTCCGTTAAATGGATCTTATTTATCTGCATCTTCTTCTTCGCCCTTGGAGCTCTCTTCAGCCAAAGGTACCTAGCTATCTCCTTTCTTTGAATCTTTTTCTAGTTTTTTTTAATTGATTGATGAAATGGTGTCAATGCCCCTCCTTTTTAGTTAGTTTATATATATATTGGATTTTGGTTACAGGATCTGGAATGTAACTACATCCAACGATCCGCTCGTCTCAAAACATCGACGTGAACAGGAGGAGACAATGTCGGACGATTGTGACAATAAGAAAGTATGTTTCTTTTATATTCACAATGACTGTTTCAACAATAATTTTGTTTTGTTCAACATTTTTCTTTCAAACAAAGCTAAAGCTTTCTTCTCGTCACAGAAGCCTGCTGGTGAAAATGATGTAATGGGTCAAGTTTTGAAAACCCACGAAGCAATTGAGTGAGTATTAAATTGCCTTCTTATTATCTTTGTTAATGGATATGTTTTTTTTTTTGTCTTAGAAGGTCTTTCTCTTCCCTAATAATTTCTGTTCGTTTCTGCTAATAGATCTCTGGACAAGACAGTTGCAATGCTTCAGATGAAGTTAGCTGCCTCGCGTAGAAATCAGGAAATGAAGAACTCGGATGACGCCGGTGCCTACTCGACCTTGGCTCTAGCTCATAATGGCTCGCAGAGGGCGAAAGTGTTCATGGTCATTGGGATCAACACTGCCTTTAGTAGTAGGAAGCGGCGTGATTCCATCAGAGAAACATGGATGCCACAAGGTCTTTTACAGACTACCTGATATGGTTTGTTCTTTGTATTTAATATCTGAAATGAATTCTTATGTTTATGTACGAACAGGGCACAAACTTGTTAAGTTGGAGCGTGAGAAGGGGATTGTTATCCGATTTATGATCGGCCATAGGTAAATTTGTTTTCCAGTTCATTGTTCATATGACGCAACTTTGGTTTGAAGTTGGTATGGATTATGAAGTAATTGCTAGTGTTTAAGTGATGAATATGAGAGAAATATACTTGATTCAGTATGAAATTTGAATTGGCATATGTTCATATCTGCATTGTTTTTTACCCCAGTGCAACATCCAACAGCATTTTAGATAGAGCTATTGATTCAGAGGATGCTGAGCATAAGGACTTCCTTCGACTGGTTAGACAAGCTTTCCCACGCTAATGTCAAGATCTCTTATGAGACAATTTTGGCATTTCTTGCAAATAACTGGTTTAAATTTTTTTTATACAGGAGCATGTTGAAGGATATCATGAATTATCTGCAAAAACGAAAACTTACTTTTCTACTGCGGTCACAAAATGGGATGCAGAATTCTACATCAAGGTGGACGATGATGTCCATGTTAATCTTGGTAGGTTTGCCATCCTCTCTAATCTCAGAAAAATTGAGCACCCAAAAGACTGCTGAAGAAGAAGTCTTGGATTGTTACATTAGTGAATTTCTTATGATTATTTTCCCATAGGTAAGCTAGCTGCAACTCTCGGCCGTCACCGTTACAAGCCCGGGGTCTATATAGGGTGTATGAAATCAGGACCAGTTCTTTCTAAAAAGTAAATATCCTGTTTTTTTTTTTTTTGGTCATCAATGATATAACTCTCCAATTTGCTTAGCTCCCCTCCTGCAAATTTTGTTAACTCTGTTGAAATCTTTTATGTTCATTAGGTTTGTCAAGTACCATGAACCGGAGTACTGGAAATTTGGAGAAGTCGGGAACAAATACTTCCGACATGCAACGGGTCAGATATATGCAATTTCCAAGGATCTCGCAGACTACATTGCCATAAATCAGTGAGATTCTCGGTTTCTGTCTGAAAGTAAACTTTTATCGGTTGTATATTGCTTTTTCTTTTTGAGGGTTTTGGTTACATCCTTCATGGCCAACTCAGACTATTGAATTTGTATGTTGTTTGTATCCATTGACTGCACTTTTGTCTCATACAATGATGATAGTCACCCTTAAAAAGAAAGGCATGGCTAATAATAATCAGAGTGATTCTGACTAACTGCAGGCCTATATTGCACAAGTATGCCAACGAAGATGTGTCCCTCGGTTCATGGTTTATCGGCCTCGAGGTCGAGCACATAAATGATAGGAGCATGTGCTGCAGGACTCCATCAACTCACATGTTCTTGAAGAAAGGTAATTTGATCAAATGTCTATGTAATGGTATACCAGTTTGAAACAAGCACACTTGTTGCTCAAATCATTGTTGAAACCTTCTATGTTCGTATCCATTACATTGCAGATTGTGAGCGGAAGGCACAAGAAGGTAATACATGTGTTGCATCATTCGATTGGAGCTGCAGCGGAATCTGCAAATCGTTGGAGAGGATGCAACTGGTTCATCAAAAGTGCGGCGAAGGGGATGCTGTGGTTTGGAGTGCGTTAATTTAAACCGATATAAAGGTTTTATTTGGGGGAAAAACAAGATTGAAACATCCATGGGTGGAGGGGAAAACAGGTGTACGAGACAACAGCAATTTGCAAATAGATTTTCTCCACTGTTTGCTTAGAAAAATGGAAAGCGATCGAGGCATTGTTCAGTAGTTAGAATGTATTTTTATGCATATTTTTTTCTAATAGAAATGTATTACCACATGTATACACTTCAATTCAATTGATGAATTATAATAAAATCAAACAAAAATATTTGGTTTGTTTAAAGTTTATACCAACAGCCAGTTGGTGATGAGGCACTAATTCCTTAAGTAAGGTTAAGGGTTCAAACTCTGGCGTTATGCAGTACCCGAACTGGATTAGTCGGTCAATAAATATGATACCAGTGATTAATTCAAAAAAATATAATTATTGTATAAAGTTGGATGGTAACGAGACAGATACGCATGTCTTTGATTCTGTAGGCAATCTCGGGCGATGCTATATTGAATATTGAACACTGATCAGGTACTTGCAGAAAAGAAGAAACTGTTTCTTATATTTAATCCTTTACCATCCTACTCTTAACTCAAAATTAGACTTCTCCATGTGGTGAATCACCGACAAATGCATGTCTTTCAAGAATAGATCGACCCTATCTCCAAGTATTGTTCACTTCATTTACCTTGCCTACTCCCCTTGCTAGGGTCAGTTCATAACTCGAATTTCATTTTTTTTAATTCGAAAGTTCATTTTTTTTACTATTTAATATCATATTGATCAGGAAGCTTGATACTAAGTTCATGTTTTGACAACAAAAAAACTAAACTAAACTAAACCTTCAGCGGTTTCTGGTCCTGTATCCCTTCTCCTTTATTTCTTTCTGTTCAGGTTTATTGTAGTGGAACCAAAGGAGCTGACATAACATGGGAAATACATATAATCGCCGTCGGGATCTGCATTTTAGTCACAACAGCAAGGGAAGTATCTTTTTGCCGATATTGTGTTCAAAACATCCATTGATAGAGATGTGGTGAGGCTTCCCAAATGGAAGGACAAGTCATCCGATGATCCTCTGTCTCCAAAGATCAGTTGCATGGGACAAGAGAAGAGGAATAACAGAATTGTTGCATTCCCCACACGCGATATCACCGCCAAGATCACCAGCTGCAATACTAATAAAAGTAATAATATCAAGTATTTCAAGCTCAGGAGGCTGCTTTCCGGTAATAATAGCAGAAGAAAACAAGGGCTAGAAAATGCTGGAAAAGAGAGATGTGGTTTGAGTTCGATCAGCGTTCAAAACATGGACCCTCCTTTGCCGGTGATCAAGAGAGTTAGAGAACAAGGTGATAAAGGAGAGAGGGACACTCTTTGACAGAGGAGATCACGTGGAGCTTCATTGGAAAGCTTACAGCTTCAACAGATTCAACTTAATAGACATCAAGAGCCGAACACTGTTTGATAGAGAAGAGAGAAAGAACACAGGTCAGACAATGTAGACGACTTGTTCTTGAAATTTCCAGTTTTGGATGATTGTAGTTTTCACTTCGGCATTTTAAAGAGAATAATCGAATTGCGGTGATGCTAGTCAAGATGTATATGAATTATTCATCAAAGTTCAATGATTTAGACATGTATCTGTAGAAATTATTGATACGAGAACCCATCAATTATATTAATTATTTGTTGTTGGCTTATGAGTGCAAAATTGCTTGAACTTTAAACATATGCATGCCAAAAAGTTCTCAAACTTCACAATTCTTCACTGTGAAATCGGATCAATAACTTTGTAATGATTAGATATGTAAACAAGAAGTTCAAGTTGAAAGAGGAATTATTTTTAATTTGATTCAAAATTTAAGGTTTAAAACTAAACTATTGCTTAATCAAGTTTCATTTTTAAAACTCAAATCGTGCAAACTTGTTAATAGAAAGTTATTGCTACATTTATGTTGTGTAGACTGAGAAACACCAGTTATGCAATATGTTTTGAACATTTTCAGAAGGCGAGTTGGGGTCTAACAAACATGTCTCGAACGGAAAACTGAAAAACCATAAGCCTACCTGATGGAAAGGTCGGTGCTTATTATGGCGGTTGAGAAATCCCAGTGCACAGTGTTTCACTCGCCATATACTAGAAACTAGTTGCCCAAGGCAGGAAAACGCACTGGTATGACTCAAACATCGGCTAAATGAAAACGAAAATGGATGTGCAAGACGAACCAAACTAAAAATGGAACCTTTGATTTGATATTATTTTTCTTTCCGTAAAATTGACCATAAGCACCAACAAGCTATTTCCTGTGAAATCGAACCCCTCTTGAAAAGAAAGGAAAAGGAAGAAAAGAACGAAATATCCCTACTAAACAAACCTTGGAAAGAATTAACAAAACCCTACCCCTTCCATGCCAAACTTATCAACTTTCTTTCCAACAGAAAACCCTAATCATCTGCCATTAAAATTTTGGAACTTCTTTGGATTTTACTATGAAAGACAGAAAAAGTCAAGCTTCGGATCTGGAGTCAGATGAGATTGATTCAGAAGAAGCTCCATTCGACTTGGTTGCAAAAGATTCAGCCAGCTTTGGCAGCGTGCCATGGCAAAGTTTCATTGACGGCCTCAGTTTCATGTACTGCAAAAACCAAATTACTAGACAAAATAAGCAAATGACAGGAAAATTTTCTTAACTAGTGATTTTTTTATCTTTTGTAACATCCACTGCCTTTAAACAATGGGAAAGATACCAACTAGCCATGTAATCAGATCGCAGATAAAAAGCATTACAAATAACAAACCTTCATAAACTATCCAGTGGCTAGAAAGAAAAAAAACATATTCCGTTATATTTACCATCCAATAGATAGATCATGACCAGCACCATATAATTTTTTGGTATATATACGTCAAGTTTCATTAGGAACACTAATACTAGGAAACAAATCAGAGTAACTTCCATTTAAAAAATTATTGAATAAAATATGTTAAATAAGTTAAGGGAAGGTACAACGAAAAAGAAGAGAGATGTATCATACCTCCTGGTAAAAAGAATTGATCTCCTCCTCTGTAAGGCCTTCATCCTCAGCAGAATTTTCTTCCCAGCCAAGAGATCGAAGGAATGCAGCCTCTTCTTCATTTGGATAAACCATAAAATCCTTTTCGTCATCATTAGAAGATCTTTGAGGCTCTTGACAGACATCACCGTTGGTAGCCGCTGCAATACCATGCTCATTAGCATGAGCTGTCACAGAAGCAACAACTACTACCTTTGTAACTTCAGATTTCTCAGTGGGAGAAGATGAAATACGAGGGTCTGAATCTGAGAGATCGGCAGAAGAGTTTGACGAGGTCTTCTTCTTCAGGAGATTAAAAAAATCATTTCGGCTCTGGGTTTGAGCCAAAGAAGGCCTCTTTTCCACAGTGAACCCAGCTATTGGATTCAAGGCAGCTGTCTTGCGCTCCACAGTAGAAAGCTTCGAGTTGTTTGAGTTTCTGGAAGCAGCCGATGAAACATGAGCAATGGCATATTGGCTATTAATAACTCTGCTGTTTGTAATTGTTGTTGGGCTGACAGTGTCTTTTTGAGTAGGTGATGAGACCCCATTCTCCCATCCTGGTTTGAGAACCAAAAGCTTACCAGATGCCTTATGCATATCAGACTTGACGTGTCCACTATGAGATTGATTACCATTATGAATAAAAGAAGGATGCTGCTGCCCACCCTTCAAAGCAACATTCACCTCACTTGTTCTCAATGCTAGTTTGGCTTTTGATCTATCCACTGAATTGAGAACCTGATCATAAATTAGGTAATTATTACCTTACACTTTTAAAAGTCTATTACCTGGAATTTCTTACTATTAATAAGTGGTTATATTATCTATGCAGTGGCTAGGTAATGCAAATAAAAGATAGAGCACTTCAAGAACACTTCACGAGCAGACAGCACACTAGCTTACTTCGGTTAATCTTATCATTTAAAATTTCAGTGACAATGTACAAAAGCAGCACAAGTCTATATCAGAAAAGTCAGATGATAAAGAGAAGTCCTCATGGACTTCCAACCAAAATCCAGCATAAACAAAACCAGTTTTGGATAAGACACGGGTTGCATAGGTGATGGATGAATATGTTAGCATAACTTTTTTCTTTTTAAATTCTAATCTGTCAAGAAGGTAGTGACTAGGCTCCTTGAAAAGTTATAATGTTAGCGAATTGACCGTTATATAATTGATGATACTAAAAAACAAATATATAATTGATGATATTAATTAAACAAATGGTATCAGGCTTAATGAAGGTTCTCTCCAAAATCTAATTCTTTTTCTTCTATTGTGATCGGAGAAAATGATCAAGATCAACAATCTCAGCAAACTCTTGAAACACATATAATGTAAATCCATATCGACTGTAAATAAAAATATGCTGCAACTTTAGGCAGCATAATATATCTGCCAATATATACTCATGCAACTGTTGTTTTAAGAACATTCAGATAATTATGGAACTTTTGTCAAATCAACTAATAATCTAAATCAGATGAAACAATAATATATCCTGATAGTACACTGTACACTTCATTAAAAAAAAGTAGTAAGTTGAAAACTACAAAATCAAACATAAGAGGGGAATGGCCGAGAATAAAAAAAAGTAAAGGGGAGGGAAGGAAGGAGAAAGCAAGAGAGAAGGGGGTAGGATGGACATGAAAAGGAAGTGCCATTTTTTCCAACATATAGTCCATTGAATTTTGGTTTGTTTTAACAGTGGAAAGAACAATAACCGATAGGGAAAAGGAGCAGAAGGTTGCAATAAATTAGAGCATATGATTCTGGAGTAGGACAGGGGAACAAGACAACTTAGCAGGCTATCATTTAGAGTAAAATGTCTTTAAAGCCGCGGAGTAGTAAAGGATATGGGAGAAGGTTTGAATTAATATTCAGTTTGATAAGAAAACTATAGATCTACAAACATTTTTGGGTGCAAATAACAGCAGTCAATGGCATAAATAATTCTAATTATTTAAGTGCAAACATGAGGGATTGCTGATGATAAGGGTTATAAGAAATACGAACAGAGCTAAAATATAGTAAGCTAATATTCAGGTTTAAAAATAGCTAAAATCTAAAGACCAAAAAAGATCTAGCTTGACACATTTAGGTCTTCTATGGCCGCAGAATGGCATTAAATAAAGAACATAAATTCAGGTTTTCGTAAATTTAATCTTTCTATTGGCGTATCTAATTCATAGAGGAAGACTAGCATTCAAATTCCAAGAGAAATAAAAACTAGGAAACAAGAACAAAATCGTATATTTAAAGGATGAAAATCAGAAAGAAACAAGAAATAAGCAATTGCAAATAAGAAACAACAAAAATGGTCATAATAATGCATCTCAAACCAAAAAAACAGTATATTATTTTCACCAAGCCAATGTAAATGTGAATTAATATGACCAACAAAAAGAACATGCATCTTTTTTGTTTGATAAAAATTTTGGTGATACTGGATATAGTCCAGCACAGAAGAACCAAAATATAGCTTTCACATAACATATAAAACCTAATGCAGATAGACAGGCAATAGATATAAAGAAATATTGTCTGATTTATATAAATGATGTAAAAGGAAGGAGGAAGAGGGAAGGGAACCGATATTGTTTAATAGGAGTAAAAGTACAAATCAAACAGGGCAAGCAAACTATATTTTTCTGAAATCAAAGGCAAGCTTACCGAACCCTTAGGCATTGAAGGTGTCACTGGTATTAGTAGCCTTGATTGCTTAATGGCCAGCTCCTCACGCCTTTGAGTATTGATGGACAACTGTATCAAATACAACAGTCTAGTTAATCACAGATATAACTTTTAATTCATACATGCAATAAGAGCTGTCTGAGCCAGTTACCTGGGGAGCAGTACATGCTCGTGGAGGAGCTTGAACTAGTGCCACTTCCATATTAAGACCAGATGTGACACTTGGAGCCCCAGAAACTGAGGTGGAAATAGTTAGGGGGGCAGACAAGGAACCTGAGCTACTAGTTCCAACCACACTAGGTGATTCTGCCAGAGCTGAGGTCCATTCTTCCCCATCAATCAAAGTTGAATTGCCAACAGATAAACACTGAGAAACTGAGCTCAAACCAAGAGATGAAACTCTAGCTGCCTCAGGCACCAACTGCCTCTCTTCAGTTCCAAGTGAGGGAAAATCTTTCTGAAAGGCAGCCTTGTGGATGCTACTCCCAATAGCATCCCCAGAAACCAGACCATGGTCATTGTTATTGCTACTATTGCCACTGTCTCTTGAGTCCACTGCAGTCCTTTGAGGCAAAGGCTCAGCATTTTTCCTAGAGATCATAGAATTAGACCGCCAAAATGTATTTATTTCCACCCGAGAGGTCGAGATACCTCCTAATTTCTCAACCCTACTGGTCAAAATACTTTCTAAAGGGTCAGAAGAATCGAAGTCCCAACGATCACCGAAGCTTAACCTCTCCTTGTCCCTTTCTCGACCCTTATGACTCCTACAAAAGCTACTATAAGCATACCTTGAAGAACCATTACTAGAACACCTCCCTGAATTCAACGAAGATGCCCGATCCAAAAATGCCAAACGAGGGGAATCAAAATCACTAATACTCCTAGAGTTTCTACTTCTCCCGGGATGCACCGGTGAAGAAGCATCTAACATAACAACAAGAATGCAGTCATTCTATATTCCCAAAAACAAATACAAAAGTTGCTACAATGAAAACTACTCAGTAGTCACTAGTCAGTATCAATGCAATGAAAAAGAGACAGGCATAAAAATGTAAAAAAACAGTAGATAGGAGATACAGATTCAAAAGTGTCATTGTAGTGAAGTATAAATGGAAGGATTAACGCAATGCGCGTACAAGGGTACCTGAGTGAGAAGAAGAGGAAGCAAAGAGGTGGGCTGAATTGCGACCCCCACTTACAGTGCCAGTACTTCTCAACCATTCTGGAACTAATTCTGGTTCATTTTTTTCCATAATGGACACTGAACATGACCGACAGGGGGGGATAAACCCTTCTTCAACCTTCCCCAAACCTTAACCACCAAAAATAGTTTTTATTCATAGAGAAATCACGAACTCTTGACCCTGCCCCTAGACATTCAACTCAACTAAACCAAGGTTTCCGGTAACTTTAAGGATTTAACAGGTTATTCAACAAATGGAAAAGCAGGAATTGTTTGATCAAAGGGTACACAATTTTAACACAAGTGTGAATCCATTGTGACGAGAACAAAAGCAATGGCTATAAGGAGGTTGTATTTTAATCAAATCTCTTCCTATATCACCATCTTTGATAAAAAAAAATGGATTTGCAGATTGCTGATTTTCCGGTCTAAAACGACCCTCATATTTCCCAATAAGCGGGAAAAAAAAGAAAGATCCAAAATAATTAATCAATCTTAAACCAGTTAAATAACAATTAACTTAGAGCAAGATTAAGAACCCTAGATTAAATTTCAATTATAGGTTTCCGAAGGGACAAAGAAGAAAATTTCCCCAAGTTCTCTAGACAAAATGACAAGACGGCGGATGAAAGAAAATGGAGAATCCTAACTGCTAACCCTAGCCCCTGCTACGATTCTGGCTATTGCCTGATTTACGTAACCGTTTTTTTAAAGAACCGTCACCCCAATCCAAATAGTGCGTTAATTTTTCGGGGAAAATAAAAAGGATAATTTCAATGTAAAATAATGAGAAATAAAAGGAGAGAGTTTGATCAGTAGGACTGAAAGTGAAGCAAGCGAGCGAAGAAATTGACAATGGATTAGCAAAAATCCCAGTTTTTTCTTTTTCTTTTTCTTTTATGGAATGGCCCAAGAAATTAGGGTTTTGTTTCTTAAGTTTGTTTCCAAGATGGTGGCGTAAATTTTCTGTTTGTTTCCTTTCCCGGTTGTTCTAACAAAAAAAAGTCCAATATATTAATATATCATATTAATATTACTAATTATAATTATTTCTCTTTAATATTATTTTTTTAATAAAAATGAGGCCGGGGCTATTACATTAGACTCCCTTTAAGTGGGTACAGAGAGATCCGGAGATATTTCTATGAAATAAACTAAAAACAGCAATCAGAGCATCATAGAAGATCGCAAGAGAGCCATCCGAAAGGATTACAAATTTCATCATGAGATCGCTATATATGTCTCGTGACAGGTGAAGGTAAAATCAACAAACTAAACTTTAGTAAGGAAGGATGAGATGACTCGAACCAAAGCAAAAACACTCGTAGTTGATGGATCAATAAGAGGTTTGTAAACATCGGCATTATCTGTACGCATTATTAAATGTTCATAACCTTGATTCCATGCGAGGCAAAGTCCTGCATAAACACTCCAAAGTTCAGCTTATAGAACATTGATTTTGTCTATACTCTTGTTGTAAGAAGCAAGCAAATTGCCATCTTGGTCTCCAAACACTCCGCCAATCGAGCTAAAGCCAGTGGTGATAGAGACTACATGTATTTGTATCATCTATTATGAAGAGATTTAGATTGAAAATTTAAAAATTGTTTAAATTTTAAATTAACATTTTGTACTAAATTTTTAAAAAAATAAAGAATATTAAAATTTTAATTTTATTATAAAATAAATATTACATTGTTGTTATCATAAGCGAAATGACGGAACATATTAATTTGATAAATATATTTTATTTGATTCTTTAATATATATATATATAATACTTAACATATAAATTCATAATATTGTAATTATTGAAGGTTATTTTCAAGAGGGTTCAAATTATGACAAAGCAAAGGAAGTGGAGGATTTTGATTAAACTAAAACAGGGGTTAAAGGACTTGGTGCTGTTAATATTTTTAATTCATTCATCGGAAAACCTGAAAAACTCTACCATAGTAATACACATTGTTTCAAGTTCTAGTGATAGATATGGAAGATTTGGAATGTGTCCGATGACGGAAGGAGATACTGGATGAGATCATGGAAACATCAGCAACATGGGTTTTCTTTTAAGTTATTGTACCCTTCAATTTTCTCCGTAAAATTAATATTTGCATAACAATATTTCTATAAAACTTCTTCGCAATAGAAGCCTATAAGAATATTTTCTGAAAGAGTATTGCATACTTCACATATTGAAAAATCGTAATCTTTAAATGTGACCTTTGATAAGTTCATGTGACATTTCAGAATTGAATCATTGTCAATTGATAATATATTTTGAGTATGCTAACTTAAAAATTACTATAATGACTTTATAATCTAATACCGGTTAATATTGAGAGAAGGGATGAAACTTATCTTTACCTACTTCTCTCTTGTTCTCTTCTCTCATACAGACAAAATATTTTAATATCGACCAACAACAACTGTATAATCACTAGCTCCATTTGTTTCTATCAACAGAATTGATTAACCAGGGAGCTTCTGTTTGCATTATGGACAGCATGCTAGAAGGCGTAAGTCGTTTCCATGAACAACCAAAGGATGGGAAGATGAAATGGTACTGCAGGGACTATAACCAGACAGGTAAGTATTTCCGCAATAGAGATCTCCTGGTAAACAAAGGAGCTGCAAGCTAGAGGGATTCAATAGCATTTGCTTTCCATGACGGCCAACTTAATCCCCAACTTTTTCCTTCGATATGCAGGTACTACTTTAAGAAACACAATTTGATCACTATGTGTGTAAACAACAGATGCAAACTGAGAAAAGTCTTTAAAAAATCTCTCGCAAGAAAGCTGTAAATGAATACATTAAACACATAATCAAGCAATGAAAGACATTGCCTGAACTTCTATCGGAGATTTTAAAGGCTTCAGAGGTAGCTTGCCAGATTGGATGCATGGAAACCGAGTCGCTTGTGTGCCACTACTACCCCGATTGGGTGCAACCAGCACTCAGACCCATCTTTGCTTACCATTCTCCTTCAAGACAATATCTGAGGCCTTCAAGGTCTTCGTCAAAGTAATTGGGTCGATGTTCCTTTTCTTGCAGGTGCTTTTGTGATTAACATCGGTGATTTCCTTCTAGTCATATAATTATTACTATATTGTGATTCTTACACCCAGTGGATGTAAAAATATGCGCGTATAAACAAACACAAGCATTGTTCTTTTTCTCTTAGTCTAAGAATGATAAAGTAGGTTTGTCTCTTCTCTTTTATAAGCTCATCACAAATGACAAATTCCAGAGTGTAGAGCATAGGGTGCTAGCGGGACAAGTACCAAGGGTATCGATAGCATGTTTTCTCTATCCAAGCACACCAAACAAACATAAACCACATGCACCAAGAATTTTATAATTTCTTAAAATCATAAAATTATAATTTGATATACTACTAAAAATTATGTCTAAAGTAAAATATATATATAAATTTAAATATATTTGAAAACAAAATTATCTATTTTAAAAATAAAAATGATGTGCAAATAATTCGGCAAAATCAAGGAAATAATAAGGTGGGAAAAATTTCTCACCTATTACCGGTGGCGGATCTAGAATTATTTATTAGTGTGAGCATACATATGTTAACAACACAAAATCTTTAAATGGAGTGGGTAAAATGAAATTTTAAAGTGGGTACCATCAATAAAATAAGTAATTAATAGAAGAAAAAAATCAAATTTCAAGATATGCATTTGCCCATCATGAAGTATATGTGCATCCGTCAGAGCTTATTTCACCCCAAAATTCTTTCAAGTATGGTGCTTTGAATAATAATATTGAAAAAAACACATATAGCATTTGACTTCTTCATGAATACACACGAGTTACGGAGATTTCTTGCATAGCTCAGACAGTACAAAAGGAAGATATCCATACATGAAATTTTCATACATGCATACTGTTGGGAAATTCAACGAGTAATTTTCCTATAACCAGATTAATGAGAATGCGAAATAAAAGCGAAATAATAACACCCGAAATTGATAACGGAGTTCGGCCAATTATGCCTACGTCTCCAGACTGCTGCAGATCTTTTACTATAGGGAGAAAAATTACAGGTGTTTACAATAAAAAAAACACTCGCAACTCACAACCCAATTACACCCTGAAAATTGCTCTCAAGAAAACTCTCTAATTTCTCTAGTATTGGGAGAGAGCTAGAATGATTTGGGATGATTTTGAAGCTAAATGGGTTAGGGTATTTATAGTTGAAGCTGAATGACTAATCTTGTAAATACCCTAAAGAACATGGACTAAATTTGGTAATTTCCCCTTACCAAAATTTCAACAAAAAAACTGCCCCTTTTGACTAATACTATTCGGTGCCCTCTTTTTTTACTAATGTCATTCGGTGCATTAATGCACCGAATGAAAGCTTGACTTTCAACAATCTCCCACTTGAAGACTGATTTTAATCTGTCTTCACACCTCGATCAATGCAGCAACATTTCTGGTCTTGTTACTCTAGCATGCCAACTGAAACTGAACACAACTTCAGTTTGTCCATAGTCACCGTCTTTGTTAACATGTATGCCGGATTTTGAGCTCCACTAATCTTTTCAAGTTTCAAAATCCCATTTTCCAGAAGAGATCAGATAAAATAATATCGCAATTGTATGTGCTTCATCTGGAATGAAAAGACGGATTCTTCGCTAAATGGATAGCACTTTGACCGTCGCAATACATGACATTGTTTTCTTGTTTCTTGCCTAACTCTTCCAAGAAACTTTGGAGCCAAACCATCTTCTTACTGGCTTCCGTAACAGCGACATATTCTGCTTCAGTTGTAGAGAAAGCAACTATCTTCTGTAGTTGAGAAACCCAACTCAATGTGGTACCTCCTAAAGTATAGGCATACCCTGTAGTGTTTCTTCTGATGTTAACCTTGTAGTACTTCTTCTGATGTCAACATTTCCAACTAAGTCAGCATCTACATAGCCTGTTAGTATCGTATCTCTACCTTTGAAACAAAGTGATTTGTTTGTGGTAACCCACAGATATCTGATGATCCATTTGGTTGCTTCCCAGTGTACCTTGCCTGGATTATTCATGTACCTGCTAACATCTCCCACTGCTTGAGCAATATTTGGTCTAGTACAAACCATGGCATACATCATACTTCCAATTGCTGAGGCATACATCACCTTCACCATGTGTGCACGTTCTTCCTCCGTCTTTGGTGAATGTTCTTTGGAGAATCTAAAATGAACACCTAAAGGTGTACTTACTGGTTTAGCATCTTTCATGTTGAACCTGGAGAGTACTTTGTTGATGTACTTAGCCTGTGATAACATCAAAGTCCCCAACTTTGTGTCCCTCTTAATCCTCATCCCAAAATCTGTTTTGTAGCGCCCATATCTTTCATTGCAAACTGCTTCAACAATTTTTGCTTCAATTTTATAATCTTTTGCATGTCTAAGCCTGTAACGAGCATGTCATCAATCTACAACAATAAAATAATGAAGTTGTTGTCGAAATTCTTGATGTAGCAACAATGATCTGCTTGGCATCTGGTAAAACCACTGCTACCCATGAAGCTATCGAACTTCTTGTACCACTGTCTAGGAGCTTGTTTTAAACCATACGAGCTCTTCTTCAACCTGCATACCAGTTTTTCTTGTCTGCCTCTATGAAGCCTTTTGGATACCTCATATAGATTTCTTCCTCCAAATCACCATTAAGGAAAGTTGTCTTTACATCTAACTGCTCAGGATGCAGATTCTCTGCAGCTACAATTTTCAACACCAATCTGATTGTAGACAGCTTCACGACTGGAGAGAAAATTTCATTGTAGTCAATACCTTCTTTTTATTGAAAACCTTTGACAATCAATCTTGCTTTGTAGCGTTTGCTCCCATTGTGCTCTTCTTTTATCCTGTAAACCCACTTGTTATGGAGCATTTTCTTGTTTGGTAGTAATTCAACTAATTCTCATGTCTGATTTGACATAAGCGAGTCCATCTCATCTGTCATGGAAGACTCTCACTTGACTGAATCCTCCACCTGCATTACATCATCATAGCACCCTGGTTCACCATTGTCAGTCAGCAATAAGTAGTGCAAAGAAGGCAAATAACGCTGGGTTGGTTTAGGAATTCTGGAGGAGAGTCTCAGTTCTGGTGTGTCTGGTTCTTCTTGAACTGCTTCAGGACTGATCTGGACATCATTTCTAGAAATCTCCTCAAACTTAGCAAATTTCTTTGTTTCAACTTTGGTATTGGAGCTAGTCGATTCTATTGTTGACTTGTCGTTGTACATCACATTCTCATTGAAAATGACATCTCTGATTCTGATGATCTTTTGAATTTCATAGTCCCAAAACCGGTAACCAAACTCATCACCACCATAACCAACAAAGACATATTTGTTGGACTTAGCATCAAATTTACTTTTTTCAGCAGAATTTATGTGTACATAAGAAATACAACCAAACACTCTTACGTGTGAAAGGTTTATTTCTTTTATGCTCAAAACTTCCTCTGGTATTACACCATCCAAGGGAATTGAGGGCCCACGATTGATCAGGTAAGCTGCAGTGTTGATAGCTTCAGCCCATAGCAATTTGGGCAACCCGACATGTATCCTCATACTTATGGCACGTTCATTCAGAGTTCTCTTCATGTGCTCTGCTACGCCATTCTGTTGCGGTGTCATGGGAATTGTTTTCTCCATCTTGATCCTATTGTTTGTGCAAAATTCTCTAAATCTATTATTTACATACTCTCCTCCATTATCAGACTTGAACCGCTTGACTTTTAAACCAGTCTCATTTTCCACCATGGCCTTCTATTTTCTGAAGATATCAAAGAATTCTGATTTCTTTTTCAGAAAATAAACTCACACTTTCCTTGTAGAATCATCGATGAAGGTGACATAATATAGTGAGCCTACAAGAGATGGAACTAGAGATGATCCCCATACATCAGTATGACCAACTCTAACTTTTCAGTCTTGACTGTCTTGCCAATTTTTGCAAAACTGACTTTCTTTTGTTTGCCAAAGATGCAATCCTCACATAGTCCGACATCTATACTCTTTAGATCTGGCAGTTTCCCTTTTGACAAAAGTGTCTTCATCCCTTTCTCGCTCATATGGTCAAGCCTTTGGTGCCATAGGTTTGATTTTCCATCAGCATCTACTACTGCAATGATATTCTCCAAGTTTGAGGTTACATAGAGAGTACCAGTCTTCTTACCACGAGCAATGATGAGTGCTCCATTGGTGATCTTTCATTCACAGCCTGAAAAGGTTGTACAATATCCTTCTCCATCAAGTTGTCCTACATAAATCAAATTTCTTTTGAGGCCAGAAATATGTCTCACTTCTTTCAGCTTCCAGGTGTTCTGGTTTGACAACTTTAATCGGATGTCTCTTTTTCCGACGATCTTCAAGGTTTCATCATCAGCTAGATGAACCTTCCCAAAATCACCACTGACCTAAGGCGCGGTGCAGGTACCGCGTGTTGTAGCTTTTCCCGGCTATAAATACCCTTTCCTTGGGGTAACTCCTCACATCTCCTCTCGATTAGAAAAAAAAATTAATACAACAATCCAACAATCTTCTCATATTTAATTTAGAAGTTCGTGCGAGTTTTCGTTATAAGGTAATTTTGTGATAATTTTTTTTATTATACTTATTGTTTATTATGATTATTTAAAAAAATATTATACTAATTGTTGTCAATTAATTTCTGTGTTTGTAAAATTAGAAAACGGGAATACACTTCGAAATAGTTTTACGGTACACGTAATAATATAAAATTATATTATTTAAATTATTTACGTTTATGTGTAAAAATTTTATTGTGTTATATTTTCGTTCATATATTATTTATTTAATCAACATTGTTTTAGTTTTTTTTTTGCAGATATAATATTGCCGCACTTTTAAACTCAAAGAATGATGCGACTTTCAGCTATTGTTTATTATGATGGAGAAATTCGAGAAGATGAAACCGGCGTTGTTTTCGTATCAAATGAGCGTGTTAAAATATCATTGAAAAGAAACATAACTCTTGAGGAGCTGATAACGAAGATTTCGAGGAAGATTCATGTTGGAAGTAGTAAAAGAATGTCGTCGTTGCAGTACATATTTCCAACATCATTGTTGCCATTAACTTATAATGCGTTCAAACTTTTGAACAATGATGATGTTGAAATGATGGTTGAAGCTCAAAGTAATTATTCATACGCTGATATTGAGATGTATACAAATTTTATTCAAGTGCGTGTTGTTCGGGTCAATAATTAAGCTCCCACTATGGGCTGGTTGAACAAGTTGACAGCCCGACGACAGTAATGTGTAATGATTTTAATGTCATAATGGGGAGACATTCATCCACAACTCCTTACGATATGTACTGAGTTGGGTCGACGAACAATCCGTATGGCAACATCGCATCCAATTCAACGGGAAGGCATTCATCTGCAAATCCCTTTGACCTTAATATGGAGATGCCATCGACGCAACAATCTGTGCAGTTTCCATTTGACACGATGACTTCAAGCTCCAGGGGGAAGCATTCGACTGCGAGCTTTTTCGATCTGAATATCGATATGCCTTCCAGTTCAAGGGGAAGACATGCAAGTAGTAGTTTCTTCGACCTAAATGTGGAGAGCATGGAGGAACCATCATCTCTACCAGAATAACCGCTTCGTGAGCCTGGTGCGGATGGTGCTGAGACTGGACTATTCATTCACCCAGAATCACCGCAATTCAACTCCGATGATGATGTTGATGTGGATGAAGTTCCAGCAAATGTGACACAAACTTACCCTCCAGCATACATGTATGAAGTTGATTATGGTGTAATGTATGGGCCAGAATTTGCGGATATGTCTCATCTCGGTGACTATGGATATTACTCATCAATAAATAATGGTGAATTATATTTAGGCATGGAGTTTTCAAGCAAAGAAGAAGCGATGATGGCTATAAAAAATTACAATATCTGTAATTATGTTCAATCGAGATATATGATTTCCATCCAATTGAAGTATACCGTCTTCCATTTTATATCTGCAAAAAGAATTAATTAAATAAAATATTAAATAAATTAAATACTTAAATAAATTAAATACAAAATATTAAAAATATAATAAAAAATACCTTAGACAGAGATTATAAGAGTATTTGAGAGAAGTTGAGAGAATTTGGTGTGATGAAAATAATTGAGGATGGAGGTATTTATAGTGAGGGATTGAGGTGTGAAACGTCAGGGTAGGTGGGTAATTATACCCAAGACGCGCCGCAGTGGGTGCGCCTTACTGACGCGTGACAGATTTTGGGGTAAGGCGCGACCCCTGCACCGCGATATACCCCTGTACACATGTATATACCATGTCCACATAAGACGCACTACAGCGCCTTACCCCACGTGACGTCAAATCAGCGTAAAACGTGTGCAGGCGCCGCGCCTTTCTACAAAAGGTGTTAGATCGAGAAATATAATCTGAACGGTATCTGATCAAGAAATATACTGTTCAACGGTGATATATCAAGAAAATCACCTTAAAAATCACATTACTTAAAAAATAATTTTTCGTATTATAAATAATAGTATTTTTTTATCACATTACGCCAAATTTACCAAAGTAATTCATCAAACCTTAAAACAATTGCATGTTTAAAATGCAGAGTAGGAATAATGGTCCCACCAGGAGCCAAGCAAAAAAAATCCTTCCAAGATTCATATTTACCCCGTGGCAGCGCGTATAATCTCTTATCTTTCTCTCTCACTCGCGACGACGTCTACCTGTCTTTCTGCTCTGTCTCTCATTTCAGCCTATTTTTCTCTTTCTCGCTCTCTTCGAGTCGGCTGCTTTTCGCTCCAATATGTCTCTCCCACTTTTTCTCCAAGAAAGCTGCGAAAAAGAGGAAGTTCTGTTTTCCTTCTAAATTTATAAACCTTGGATTACTTTAATTGTTGAGATTTTAGATGGATTTGTCACTATACGCTTCATTTACCTTGATTCTTTAGTCATAGAAGCTCAATGAGTTCGAAGAGCAGCCGAAGAAAGCCGAGACTCGATCGCCGCAATGCAGCGAAGCACATCGACTATGATGCAGCGTCGTTTTCTTCCTCTCTCGATGATTCCTCCTCCTCTTCTTCTCTAATCACGCGATCGCTCGATTTGTCCGATAAAACCAGCTTCCGTATCCAAGGAACCGACGGGGAGTTCGACCTTATTTGTCGGACCTTGGGCCTTTCGGGGCCTGAAGATTTTTCCATTCCAGCCGCCGCTTGGGAAGCCCGTAAAATTCGATCGTCGTCGTCGGATGTTTTGCCTCTATCCAAATTGAACCGACTGGATAGTCCTAAGGAAGAGACAGACAAGATAAAAGATGACACTCAAGTAATGGTCTCTGAATTAGCTGATAGGGTTTTGGCTACTGATTTGACCGAGGATGACTCACCCGAGTTAAAGTTAAACGAGAGCTGCCGTGCCGATAGAAACTTGGTGGATGTTGCTACTACAACTGAGTTGAAGCCAAACGCATGTTGGGCTTTGAATGTTTCGGATGGCGGAGGGAGTAATGGAATTAAAGGGACTAGGCCACCGGTTTTAAAGCCGCCGCCGGGGATTAAGCTATCGGTAGTCGATAACGCGTGCTCAACTTGGGATCTGTTCAGGGATTTCGCCCCCGAAGATGATAAAGGGTGTGTGGCTCCGGTTCAATTACATTCATCTTCCGATGAAGAAGAAGATAAAGGAGAGGAGGGTGAGGGTGAGGGCAATGAAGAAAATGCTAAGGATGAGGAGAATTTAATGAGAATTGGAGAGACTGCAGCGGTTTCTGAGTCGTGTTTGTGTACGACTTCAAATGATAATGATTCATCAAGTTCTACTACAGAGCCTGCGTCAAATATTTTCCCTAATGGTAGGTTTAAAAGAACAATTACTGATTGGGAGAAAGGTGAGCTTCTGGGGCGTGGATCATTTGGGTCAGTTTTCGAAGGGATTTCTGAGTAAGTGATGAAATATTGCCTTATACTTCATTTCCAGGTTCATCAAATGCTTTTATGTAGTTATTAAAAAATCAAGTTCATTATCTTTTGATATGTGCAAACTAGGTTGGGAACCGCTTCGAGTGCAACAATCATAATTTTGTCTCTTGGGGAGGCACTCTTTTAGAGATTAGAAAGCTTATAGGGTTAAGAGGTGTCCTTGGTGTTAGTTAAGCATCCCGAGAAAGGTTTTGTTATTTCTTCCCCGTCATCCTAGTTTCTGTTCCCCCATCCCTTAATTCTTTGGAGAGCAACGTTTTACATGTTTTTTGGGTTGCGTTTTAACATTACTAGATGTTAATATGAATGTTATCCTTGTGGTTGATCTGCCTTTAAGTGTTATTTTGTTTGCTGATTGAAGTTTTGCATAATTGACGCACTCCTTGCACTTGTTACAGACAGTCTATGGCTTCCAATGATCCTATGTGGTTAGGAACTGTTTTTTGGAGATATATTGTATAGATGATTTCAAGATGATGGTTTTAGTTGTTTTGTCACAGTTCCGAATCTACTATTAACCCTCCCAACCATTATCTAAGCTATTTGTTGGCTTCTTCTCAGAGTGACAGAAGGTGTTACTGTTAGAAATACTTTCGGAATTGCAAGGAAATGCCCATTTTATTCTATTAGCAATTAATCTGTTGTCTACTTGTCCAATAGATTATGTCTTGCTTTCACTTAGAAAAGAGATGTTTTCCGTTTAGTCACGCTTTATAATTATTTATTTAATTTATTTCCTTGTAGCAATGGATTCTTTTTTGCCGTGAAGGAAGTTTCATTGCTTGATCAAGGAAGTCAGGGGAAGCAAAGTATTATCCAACTTGAACATGTAAGTCAGATTTTATCTTTTAATTCCTTAAATGTTCATTTCTTGAACTATCCATCTTCTTGTCTCTGTCTGATAAGATTACTTTGTTCCCTTCCTTGTTCAGGAGATTGCTCTTTTAAGTCAGTTTGAACATGAAAACATAGTTCAGTATTACGGCACAGAAAAGGTACTAATTTCTGACATTTACCTTGTCTTAATAGACCTTGTAATTTTTCCTCTTAAACTGTCTAATGTTTCTTTTGATTTTATGGGTTTTTGTAGGATGACTCCAAATTATACATCTTTCTTGAGCTTGTAACCAAAGGCTCCCTTTTAAACCTATATCAGAAGTATCATCTCAGAGATTCTCAGGTCTCTGCATATACAAGGCAGATTCTGCATGGATTGAAGTATCTTCATGACCGAAATGTGGTTCACAGGTAAGTCAAGGGACCTTATATTACTGCTCAATTATTTATGTACCTCCTAAAAACACTTTTTTTTCTCTAACCAAATATGAAAAATTATATAAACATTTTTTCACTTAACCGATAGAAGTTTTCAAAATCCTTATTTCTACTGGGACCTGTTTAGTGAATCATAATCTGTATGCATTTATATTATTTCTTCTTGGAAGACATTTAAAGTCCAGAAAATGATGTAATTTGATCATAAGAATTTTTCTCAGCATTTTACTTATTATATAGTATTTATTTTCCCTTAAGGTTCGGTGTCCACTTTATCTCTGTTGTCTTCCTTGATGTGGCATATGTTATAGTTAATGACCTGGAAAGTAAAATTATTTTTTCCTATGTTCTATCTAAGTCACCAGACACTTTGAATATTCTGCTCGCAAGGCTCATTTACTTGTCTGGTGATACAGGGATGTTAAGTGTGCAAACATATTGGTTGATGTGAGTGGCTCGGTAAAGCTTGCAGATTTTGGGTTGGCAAAGGTTTTTATCCAATCCCAAGACTTTGGTCATCTTTCTTGTTTTAGTATCTTTTAAGATGGTCAAATCAACGTTATTGGTGATATTGGTGCTGGTGCTTGTTTTCAGGCAACCAAGTTGAATGATGTTAAATCATGTAAAGGGACAGCTTTCTGGATGGCCCCTGAGGTTTGCCTCTATTTTCTCCTTTCAGAAGTGATAAACTGTTATAGCTATTTGATATGTCTAGAATATCATTTCCCCTCCTTCCCAAATTTTTAATTCATTTCAAACAAATAAATGACGGCATACATTCTTAGTAAATATTTTTCTTCTACATAAGGATGATCAAATACATTCTTTTCAGATATATCTGTATAGTGGACAAAAGGTGTAAACCACTCTTGCTGATCCATCATAATTTTTCTGATGCTTCATTCATTGTTTGGATCTTAACATTTAGCATACAATGAACACTTCTCCTTTTATCATTTAGGCCACCAGTACTTTCCTAGCAAAAGTAGTATTTGATTTGGCAATTTCCATGGACTGATAGCTTATTCTGATAATGGCAGTTCCCCCTTTCTGAAACACTGCTGGCCCTTTTTCGAATCATACCTGTTTTTTTTCCAGTTCCTAGTAGGATTGGTGTACTTGAATTTTGATTATCAACTGTTAAATTACAGGTTGTCAATCAGAAGCGTCACGGGTATGGACTTCCTGCCGATATATGGAGCCTTGGTTGTACTGTGTTGGAGATGTTAACTGGTCGGATTCCATACTATTATTTGGAATGTGTATGTACCTCTTCTTCCCAGTAAAAACATTAGTTATTCTTATAATAATAAGTTTATATTAAATTTAAATGAAGGAAAAATAAGAGATTCTGGAATTTTCCTGATATGAACATTTGTTTCATATAATTTCCTCCTTCCACAAGAACTATTTAGTTTTTGATACTCTCCTTTCTCACCCAATTGTTATGTCTTCAATGACATATTTGGTATAACTTGAAACAGATGCAAGCATTATTTAGAATTGGCAGAGGTCAGCCTCCAGTAGTTCCCGATTCTTTGTCAAAAGATGCAAGAGATTTTATCTTGCTATGCTTACAAGTCAATCCTGATGCTCGCCCGACTGCTGATGTACTCTTACAGCATCCATTTGTAAAGAGGACTCTTCAAACACACACAGGCTCAGCGTCTCCTCATATTGGTCATCGAAGTTGAATGTTCAGCCTTGAAACTAAATTGCAACGAGTGATCAGGTAAACAATACATTTTCTCCCTATCACATGTTTATATCTCCTTGTTGATACTGGACTGTCACAACATATTAGGTATATATCATACCCTAAGTTACATGAAAAATATCCTTTAACAAAGGGTACATATTTGGATTAACTTTAGCTTCATTACAACTTTGTTATCGAAAGGCCAAAAAGAAAAGAACTTCATTATCGCGTTTGTGTGCAGAAAGTTACATATCCAATCGGTTTTAAGTTTTACATAGTGATGCCTTTGCTGTTGCATGTAGCTTGGTCCATCATGAGGAAGAAGAAAAGTTTTGCTTCCTCGAGCTCCAATGTTGCTACCTTTAGTTTTGCCCCCTAGGAGTCTCAAACCTGGTTGGCTGAAACAATTCTGACTATGGCGCAATGGCACTGACATGGATCTAAATCTCCATGACCATGAATTCCCACAGATGCTGTAGAGAGAACAACTGCTCTTAATGTTAAATAATTTGTTATAATTTTGAAAGGTTTGGGATTGATTAGCCTCTATTTTCTTTCCCTTTTTTGTTTTCTGTAGATATTTTTTGGGGTTATTGGTTGAAATATTAGCTCTAGGAGAAATTGCTGTAACAATTAGAGAAGTATATCTTTGTATATTGCAAAGAAATAAATTGTTTGCTCATATATTTATTGTTGAAATTTACGAGGAACACGTCGCGTTATGATCCATATATCATAATTGCGTAATTGATTGTCATTACCATCGTTATTCGTGAACTAATTTATGACCCAATTTATATATTTTTTTCATTTTTTATAAATAAAAAAATAAGTGCTATAAAATTACTCCATTAAAAAGGAAATTTACGAATCTGGTTGTAGTTATTACTAGAATCATTTCCCGGCATTGGTTGGGGTTTAAAAACTTAATGAATAGATATTTAATATTTTAAAGTTAATAGTAATCTTAAAGTTTATTCGATAGAACTCGAATTTATTTTTTACAAAAAAAAAACCCTAGCCGCCTATGGAAAACATTGCTCATCCCCTTGGAGATTTTGTTAACCAATCGCAGTTTATACCTGCTGCATCGACATCTCCCCCTCTCGGTGGTAGTTTTGCTGGGATCACTCATGAGATTAAAGTTTCGACAACTCCGACTCTGGAGAGACCGGGTTCACCCTTTCCGGATGAGGACCAACGTGTCACTAAGAAAGTGAGAAATAGAGAGAAGGTTGTTGATCGTATGGAAGAAGACCACAATGGAATGGAGATACAATCGAATGAGCATATCATTGGAGAGGAAGTTAGGCAACAGGAGAAGCAATCCTATGCTAATGCAGTAATTGGTCAAGCGATGAATACAATAGATGTTGTTTCACTCCAGGCTATGGATGAGGTGGTCGTTCTTGATGGTGAATGCATCGTGGATAACAATGGTTTGTATCCTGTGATCCAATTTACGGATCAAGTTCATGATAGAATCGACCATAGCATGCGACGCTCGGTGATAATTCGGCTTCTTGGAAGAGCCATCGGTTACAAAACGTTGTTGAATCGTATTGGATTATTATGGCAGTTACAAGGATAATACCAAGTGATCGAATTGGAGAATGAGTATTTTCTGGTGAAATTTGAGTGTGAGCAGGACTATATCCACATATTAACGGAAGGACCGTGGACTATCTTCGGAAGTTATCTAACGGTTCAACCATGGAGTCGTACTTTTTCCACGATGGAAAAGCATCCATCTCAAGTTATTGTTTGGGTTAGATTACCGGGCCTCCTATATCGATATTACTCCAAAGCGATTTTCCACCGAATCGCTTCGGTTATCGGACAGGTCGTGAAGATTGATTATAGCATAAATTCTGAGGAAAAAGGTCGCTTTGCTCGTTTGGCAGTGTTAGTAAATTTAAATAAGTCATTAGTTCCATGTCTCAAGATAGATGGTTTTGGCAAAAGATTGAATATGAAGGCTTGCAACAAATATGCTTCCAATGTGGGGTTTATGGGCATTCGAAGGAAAGTTGTGGAGCGGTAGAAGCGAATACAAGCAAGGTTAGAGCAGAAAGTGGTACTAGTGTGGAACGAGATCAAGTCTTAGGTGATGAGGAAGCGGGTTTTGGGCCATGGATGATTGCTGAAACGCGCCGTAGGAGAATGAGGAAAAAACCTGCAATAATTAATAAAGTAAGAAGCGCTAATGCGAAAGGCTCTAGATTTTCTGTCTTAGGTGTTGAAAATAATAATTTTGAAAGAAATTCTACAACAATCACAGAGGAAGTCGTAGCTGAAACACACAGGAAAAGTCCACAAGTTACTACAATAAAAACTCGTCGAGGAAGCAGTTCTCGGACAGATACTCGTGCAAAAGGGAACGGATTACAAAGTCGTGGTTATCGCCACATTGCAATGCATTCACAGGAGGAAACCATGTGACGGTTATCATTTCAGAGGATGGTCGAAACAAAGGTGCAAATCAGAATAATCATACTAAGGTTAATAGAAGAGAGGTGAGGGACAGTAGCAAGGGGCTGAAGGTTAAAAAAAAGAACAAACATTTCAAGTTCTCCCCGGTAATTCTGACGGATTGGTTGCGGAATGCGACGTTGAATCCTCAATGTGATTGCAGAACACAACAAGGAGGATGTTCCTCTAATGTGCGTGAAAAAGGAATGGATGAAGGAATCCCGCCAGCAGTGGAGCAGTCAGTGATGTTAACGGAAGAAGTCTCACTCCCAGATAGCGAGAATGCTAACCCGAATATTCCCCAGTAATGGTGTGCTCTCGGTTTTTCTTATTTCTTTAATGGTTAAGTTTCTATTTTGGAAGTGTCAAGGAGCTTGAAGCTCTAACTTTAGACGCTACTTTCGTGAACATTGTCGGACAAGTCGACATGGAGTTGTTGCATTGTTGGAAACTCGTATTAGTGGAATGACTGTAGATAAAGCTATTCGGGCATTCGGTTTTCAAAATTCATTTAAAGTTGAAGAGCATGGGTTTAGTGGTGGAATTTGGATTCTTTGGAAAGATGGGATTGATGTTGAGATTCTAACAATTTCGCATCAATTTATTCATGGTAGATGTTGGTCTGCTAAAGTATCTATATGGTTATATTTTACGGCAGTTTATGCGAGTCCTCAAGTGGAGAAACGACGCTTAGTATGGAGACATCTTATGAACCTTACTCCCGGCGAAAATGAAGTTTGGATCATGGGCGGTGATTTTAATTCCATCATTCACCTTGATGAGAGGGGGGAGGATCTAGTCGTGGATCAGGAGTAAATAAGTCGTTTGTAGATTTTATTTTCGATATGGGATTAATCGAAGTGGACTATAGGGGATCTCCGTTTACGTGGAGGAGATGAAATCTTGGTAAACGGTTAGATCGTTGTCTTATGAATAGTTGTTGGGCTGAAGCATTCCCGGGTACTATGGTGTTGCACCTTGACAGAGTGGGTTTGGATCATTGTCATCTCCTTCTGCAAATACAGAATATCTCGAGAATACATGGAATCAGGTCGTTTCGCTTTATTGCCGCTTGGCAAGATCATCCTCAATTCAAGAGCCTCATTTTAGAAGCTTGAAATAAGGATGTAGATGTATTAACCAATATCAATTCCTTCAAGAGCAAAGCTACCGAATGGAACTTGGAGGTGTTTGGGCATATTGGGAGGAAGAAAAAAGAATTACTGGCACGATTACGAGGTATTGATAAGGCCCTAAACTCAGTTTATTCTCGGCGATTGGTGGAGTTGCATTCCAAGTTGAAAAGTGAGATGGAAGAAGTCCTTTAAAATGAGGAAAGTTTGTGGTTTCAGAAGTCTAGAAATCAATGGATTCTCCAGGGGGATAAAAACACAAATTTTTTCCATGCATGCATGATGATGAGACGTCGGTATAATTATGTTGGTGCGCTCAAACATCGGATGATAATTGGGTGTCGAATCAACAAGCGCTTTGTTCGATGGCGGTTAATTTTTACAATGAGTTATTCACTAGTACCAATGATTATGAGATTGGGTACTCGGTCCAGGGGTGTTTTCCGATAATTTCTGATTGTAAGTTGAGCAACCTTACGAGACCTTTATTCACAGAAGAAATTCGTGACGTCCTATTTAGCATGAGTCCGCTAAAGGCGCCTGGAGTTGATGGGCTACATGTTTTTTTCTACCAAAGGAATTGGGATATTGTAAGTTTCAGTGTGTGTAGATTGATCTAGAATATTTTTTGCAGGAGGGGAGTTTGATAATGAATTCAACCGCACCCTTTTGGTGTTAATACCAAAAGTTAAAGCACCTGAATCTTTTAACCAATTTCGCCCTATTAGTCTATGCTCAGTATTATATAAGTTGGTTACAAAGATTATTGTGCATCGGCTGAAGCCTCTGATGAGCCACTGGATATCGGAGACTCAGACGAGTTTTGTTGCGGACAAGTTAATCACAGATAATATTATTGTTGCGCAAGAGATAGTGCACTCCATGAGATTAAAAAAAGGAAGGATCGGCTACATGGCTATAAAAATCGATCTAGAGAAAGCTTACGACCGACTGGAATGGCCTTTCATCGAAGAAACATTAAGAGAGCTTCACATACCGGAGAGCCTAAGACTGCTTATTATGCGTTGTGTAACTTCTGTCTCGACCCAGGTACTTTGAAACGGTACTATGTCGGATTCCTTTTCTTCCACAAGAGGACTGCGTCAGGGGGATCCGCTTTCACCTTATTTGTTCGTTATGTGCATGGAGAGGTTGTCACATGCGATATCGAGAGCAGTCAATAATGGGAAATGGAAGCCTATTCTTCTATGTCATTATGGGCCTTCTCTCTCTCATCTTTTCTTTGCGGATGATTTGGTACTTTTTACGGAGCTGTCTATGGAGCAATGTAACGTTATTCGGAATATCTTGGACCTATTCTGCAAGTTTTCGGGTCAAAAAATAAACATTCAGAAATCTACCATCTATTACTCGAAGAATGTGGCATCATATTTAAGAAATTCCATCAACTCAGCTTTCAGGTTCAAAGAAGTTCAAAATTTGGGGAAGTATCTTGGAGTACCTCTACTGCATTCTCGGATTACGAGGCCATCGTATAGTTATATTATTTCGAGAGTTCGGGATAAACTCACAGGGTGGAAGGTAAAATCGTTGTCCTTGGCAGGAAAGATCACATTGGCAAAAGCAGTACTATCGTCGATTCCCTTTTTTCCATGCAATCTACTAAGCTTCCGAAAGGGATTTGTGATGAGATCGAAAGATTAATTCGGGGTCGTACTGAATCCGGAGGAGGAGTATCTCTTGTTAAGTGGGATACTGTTTGCAATCCAATAATCAAGGGTGGTCTCGGCATGAAGAAATTAAGCACTTAAAATGATGCATTTCTTATGAAGATATCTTATAAATTAGTAGTTAATCCAGACCAATTGTGGGCTAGAGTGCTACGAACTAAGTATAAAAGGGTGGATGTGATCCCCGAATCCATTAATCGTACAGGCAACTAGCATCTTTGGAGGGGCATCGCTCACGTATGGCAAGATGTTCGACAAAGCTTGGCT